GACTACTGGACAGTGAACAAGAAAGCAATGAGAACTCTAAAATATCAACTCAGTCTGGGGGAGTAAGGAGTTAGGAGTCAGCGGCCCATGTGTGGATTTATCAGTCCATCTTCGGCATCGGCATCACATAATGTATCAACTACAATATCTTCCCTAATGGATGGGAGAGAAGTGAGGCTGGAAATGTTATTATTTTCCAGAAAGGTGAGGTCTTGCTTTAGTCTCTAAAGATCTAATTAAGAGCTGCAACATATGAGTTGTAGAACTTTTTGTTCCGGAGAAAACTAAAGGCCAAGGTGTGATATGATTTATTAAGTAACACCAACAAGATGTATTCAAGCTGAGAAAATGTATGAGTTTGTTTGCAGAACTCTTTTTTTCTGCTCTGGCAACAGCTCCTACCGGGCCTGTTGAGCTTTAAATCTTATTCATGGTTACAAAAGATTTTTTTTTTTTTTTTTTTTTTTTTTTTACATATTAGCCTTCTGATGAATACAGAAGGCAAGACAATGACTGGCTATGCATGGTCAAACCAGAATTGATTACCTGCTCTTGAAAATAAAAACTTCTTAAAAGAAGCCTGAATGGGATTCATTTTGCACCAGGGATAGTAAGCATGTTTTGATCACAGGTACTTGGGCACCCTACTATTGGTATAAGAATTTAATAATTCAGATCTGCAGTGTAGGGTCCATCCAGAGCTCCTCAAGTCAACAGTAATACCTTGAAATGCACTCAATATAAATATGTAGCCAATGACTCTGCATGAGCAGTAGAGACATATTCCTGTGCCACCTTTGATTGTAGATGATAGAGTTGGACCTGTTTTTCAGTGCTTAGTCCTGTTTCTCCTCTAGACATAACTACGGTCTCAACTTTTACTGTGACTAACTCTGTTTTTCCTCTTTCATCCCTTGGACATAAAAACTTGCTCAGAGCTCGTCTGCTTAACTGTTTCTTTCCCAGACAGAGCCCCCGTTACCTTTTCTAACATAGAAAGTATTTATAGATCAGTGCTTCTATGTTCCTTTTGTATGTCTGCTATTCTCTCTGTAAACTCCCAGTCTCAGCTTACACTGAGCCTGGTTCTGTTAGAAGTTTTTCCTGCTAAAAGAGAGTTTTCCATCTCTCCTTTTGCTGCATGCATGCTTGGTGTAAGGGATTGATGTAGAGTCAATGATTAAATGCAATCAGCCGGTTATCCTTAGATACAAAACCTTTTTACCAATCTGACTGTATGATGTGATTGAACTGTGTGTGTAAAGTGCCTTGAGATGACATGTGTTATAAACTGAATTGAATGTGAAAAATATTCTGATGTCAGGGGTCTAGCAACAGCATTTGAACTAACTGAAATGATTCTAGAGAAGATACCGGTATGTTAAAATGTGTAAAGGGCATTGCAATAATCTAGATGAGGCTGGCCAAAAGTTGGTCTTCGAGGTTTGCTGTCCTGCAGGTTTTGGAGGTTTCCCTGCTTTAGCAGAGCTGATTCGGATGATTGGAGTTCAGCAAAAGCTGTTAATTGGCTATCAATGGAAATAAGCTGTGCTGAAGCAGGGAAACCTCTAAGACATGCAGGACCACAGCCCTCAAGGGCTGACTTTAAGCAGGCCTAATCTGGAGGATATAAAACAAAAGCATGAATTAAGATTTCCAAGTCAGGACGAGAGACAATAGGGCCTGGTTGGCACAGTTTTGCAAATGGTAGAAGCGTGATCAAAACCAGAGGTCTGTCATGATATTTGAATGTAAAGCCAGATTCCATAGTTATTCAAAGGTTTCTGACAGATGCTTTAGCAATGGAAGCAGCAACCCAAGAGTCTGCTTTATGTTTACAGTTCCTTTCTCAGGTGCAAAGATGATGAATTCAGTTTTGTCTTCATTTAAATGAACAGAACTTTCAGTCATCTAGACTTAAAGCATTTTAATAAAAGATGATGCTTGAAAAGCCATTTTGAAACATAAAAAATATACAATTGGATGTTATCTGCAAGGGTGGCCTAGTGGTTAAGGCATAGAGCTTGGAATGCTGAGGTTTCGAGTTCTGAGTTTGAGCCCCACTTCCACAGGTTGCCACTCTGGGTCCCTTAGCAAAGACCCCTAACCCCCACACTGTTCCCTGGACGCCCCACAATGGCAGCCCACTGCTCCCCAAGGGGATGGGTTAAAAACAGAGAGTTCACTTAGTTGTTCTGTACTTGTGACATTGTGATGACAATAAAAGCTGGGAAAAAGAGAAGGAATAAAAAAAGTGATAGAAAATATATTTAAAAGATGGCAATAAGGAACCAGGAGGGATCACATAAAACAAAAATAATAATAGACCCAAAACCAACCATTTTGAACCATTTTGAAGAAGAAAAATAAACAGGATCAACTGAACGGTTAAAAAATCAACAGGAAAGGACTGGATCTGTAATTACATACAGTTGGGAAAATTTATCTAACTCACAAGTAGGAAAAAAAAAAACAAAGACATTTTAAAGCAGAACCTGAAACAAGAGCCCAACACCTCAGCCTTTTCCACAGTGTTGGATGTCAATAGTATTAAAAGCTGAATTCAGATCCAACAAAAGCAACAAAGAACACTTACCTGCATTGCTTGTATCAAAATGTCATTTGAGATTTTACGAAGAGCTGCTTCTGTGGAATGGGGTTTATGAAAACATGACTTAAAATGTTCCAGAAAGTCTAGTTTATCAAAAGCAGAGGTGAACTGTTTGATCCCAACCTTTATTAAACTCTTGGCCAGAAAAAAATATATTTAAAATAGGTCTATAACTGTCTATAATTATAACTTTCTTTCAAAAGGTGTGGGTAATAGCAATCTTCAGACAAAAAGGTATCCTCTTAGCAGCTAAGAGGCATTTACTTTATGCAACTAAAAAACACATAACCAAGCATGCTGGTATATCTTCAGAGAGCAGGAAGATGTCTTCATGGTGCTAACAAGCTGAACAAGCTCAGGAACTGACACTGACTGGAAGAGATCTAAAATACAAGGCCAAAAAAGAGGGGGGATTGTTAGCCCAGGTGCAGAAGGTGATATATGATTCCTCATCTTATTGTCTGTAAAACAATAAGTAAAAAGTTGTCAATCCTTATTTGAAGAGATAGAGTAACTAGGTGAAAAGGATTAAAAGGCTGTGGCTTTTTTGACAGCATTATTAAAAAAGTCTAAAAGATCCTTTAAGTATAGGAAGATGTTCCCTCGGTTAATGCAGTTTCTTCCTCTAAAGTTACATTGTTCTACAAGGACACCTTAAACAGAAGATGGAATCATCTACTCATGGTGAGGAATTTAAAACAGGTATTGATCTATTTTTTAGGATACGGTTTTAAACAGATATGAAATAGATATGAACTGTTCATTAAAATCATCAGTCAGAGCATCTTCATCAGTAAAATGAGATAAGAAAAAATTAAAACCTGCAGGAAAGGAAAGGAGTCTGCTGATAATGAGGGCTACTTGCACGGCGAGCAGTAGGCTGTGAAACAGTTTCAGATCAATCAAAAATAACACAGTGATAGTGTGAGATACAAAATGTCCTCAGAAAAACTCCAATCAATGTTCAATCCCAAAGTAAAAACAAGGTCCAAGGTGTGTTTTTTAGAGTGAGTTGGTCCTGAGCTGCTAAATAAAGTCACAGGATTTTCATGACACTTATGTGTTTTCCCCAATATGACCAGCCAGGACAGCCTGAGAAAAACTGATTAAAAATATTTGAATTATTTAAAACAATGCTACTTTGACTTAGTGGATGGTAAACTACTGCACATTAAAATGGATTATTAAGCCCCATTTTAATCAGCTGAAATTTAATGATCTAAAATGCTTTCTAACTATTCAGACACTCAGAAATACACAATGTCAAGAAAATATGTAAGAGTGCTACTAATGTTGAAATTTGCTGACTTGTATGAGATAATTTGCAATTCAATTACTAAAAATATCGGATGTGGGCATCGACAGAATCCTTCCCACCGGCAAATTCTAATGCATCAATAAACTTTATTGAATATTTTGCAGTCAATTGGTCCTTTGCAATGGCAATGCTGCACACTCCGTCATATCAATAACAATGCAATGTAATGTGGTGTTCAAGCTTCAAATTAAAACCATAGAACTAGATCTGGATCTAGGTTTTGTCTTATTTTAATGAATATCTTATTTTCTTCAGATTGCCTTCTGATAACTGTGCTTTGACAAACTAGCCTATTTGCATAAAATAAAATCCAAACAATGTGATGGGGAAGCTAAACTAACGGGATGTTGCAAACACTTATACTTCAGTCAGACTAAAGTTATTTTAGATTATACTCTGTGAACATCCACATTTGTGTTGCTTCTTTTGCTTCAGGAGAAAAAGAGTTAACATTCAGCTAAAGAAGCTGAAGGCTGTTTTGTTATATGAACAGTAGGAGCATCTGTGTTTCTGGCAGCCAAATAGGTTGCACCCAGTTGATGTCATCGCTTTACGTGCTGATTTGCTAAATAGTGGCCACCGCCTGTGATGGTGTACATATGTTCCAAAAACTTTAAGTAACATTAAAATATTGTGATGCTTAATTTTCCAAAATGTTTATAATGGGAAGTACCTATAACGTTGTTGCTGTTTTTTGGCAAATTTAGCTGAAATTGTCGAATGCAAAAAAAATGTGATTAATGTGGTTAACTGAATCAAAGGCTTTTTTAGTGAACTCTGACATTCCTTTGAATCTCAGTCAGAGGGAAATAAGTAAACACAGAAAGATTGGCTAAGATGAACAGGCTGTAATGTGCTGCTTAGTTTTAAAATTCATAACCCACAAAAAAAGAACATACAAGAGCACTAATGTTCATATGTTTTGATTTTATTGAGCTAAAGGCAGTAGAAACAAAACAAAATAAATTCTTTGTTTCATATGAAATCCTTGCCTGTGGGTTTCAGCTGTCTTAATGAATACTGCATGGTCTCTCCTGCAGCCAGCTCTAACTACGCAGTCATGTTAGAGACTCAATGCACAGCAGTGCTGGTGTCATGGGACAAATGGAACGCTTTGCAGGACTGGTAGAGCCGTAGCTTCCCGTCCAGGGTTCCTGTTAACAACTAAAGAAGAGAAACAAAAAGAGAGAATAAAATCAGGGACTGCTTTTTATTTTATGGATGAACTTTTTTTAACATACATGTCAATCACGACCTCCTATTAAAGGAGTTTCATACTATAGTTAAGGCCTGAGCACACACTGGTTGCGTATGACTATTTAATCTCCAATCCAATATTTGTCCATGTTACACTGACTGCCTATAGAGAGGCTCAGACTATGCAGGGTGAGCAGATCTGCACAAATATTTTTTTCACTTCTTTCTCTGTGCCACACAAATTTAAAACAATTTTCCACATTTGACTTGGACAGAATATGAAAAGTTAATAAAAATAAATAATTAAAAAATCACCCGCACAGCTATAAAACAAAGCCCTGCTTAGCATCATAGATGGGGAATTTTTATAGGTCTATATTAAAACATGATGAGAAAGTATGTCTCCACCACCAGGTGGTGCCCTGTCCTCTGTGGGCCTCCCTGCACACCTGCGGCTCGTTGGATCATTACTGGAGGAGTATTTGAGCAGTGGGCTGTCACTACCTTGACGCCAGAGTGTTAACCAGTTTTGGGTACTCTAGCCAAGCTGAGATTAGCAGAGTTTAACCTAAGATTTGTTTCTCTGAGTCTTATCTAGTTTTTGTGTTTGCTCTTCGGCAGGAAGCCTTCCTGAGTAACTGGATACCTGGACCTTCTCCCCCTGGAAGGATTAACTGAGTACACACTGAGCAGGGGAAAAACTCCACATTATCCGTTCAAGTCCTCTTCGGAAATCCAAGTGACAGTCCGCTCCTTTACTCCTCTGGGTCCAACGCTTGTCTATCTGTTTGCCCTCCGACGAGTTCCCTCTTCTCTGGATTAACCCCCACAAGCTGGATTCAAAGATTGACAAGACCCCCCTCAAACGTGAGGCCCTCTCCAGTAATATTGGAGAGGGACTCACCAATATTCTAATTTAATCAATAGTCAAATTTCCTACGGTCCCTGAACTGATCCCTGTGATCTCCCCTTCAGACTTTCCACTACTGGTTCTCCAGTCCACTGAGTTCCAGATTCAACTTTTCCCTTGGTCTCTGAGTGGTTCTCTGCATGTGGGTCAGATCGCTTAAACCAATCATGACACATAAAGAGGGGAAAGTGATGAGCTTTGCTTACCTGCTCTGTCTGCTCCTCGTTATTTAGTTTTTTTGTGCGGTGTTAGTGAGTTAGCTAATTATTATGAGCTTGCATTAAAGCTCACTTCATTTGTGTTGATAACAACCATCAATTTGGTTCTTCGTTTGAATGGTGAGGTAATTAATTTCTCTGAAAAGCTGTGACTCTTGCAGTTCTTTTTTTCTTCAGTCTTATGTCTAAAGATGATAAAGATTTCCCTTCAAATTAAGACAAGTTAAAATTCAAATTAAGACAAACTAATGCTCAGATAAAGTGCCATGACTTTTCGAACATTACTTTTAAGAACTGTTTATGTGTGTCAACATTTGCTGTGTAATCAGAAGGAAAAATCTCAATAAAACAACATTATTTGTTCTATTAGTTTAACCAAAAACACTAAAACCACAAGAATGGCAACCAAACCATAAAAAATGCAGAAGTGAGCAGAATCATTAGTTCCATTTTTGGCCTGCATCTCACATAGAGCAATTGATTGTGCTTTAATTATAGACTCTAACTTATCTTTTTAGAATACAACCGGATTTTCTATATTATTTGAACATGTGTGTCTTTCTTTGTGTGTTAAGAAGCAATAAGATTTTCTGTAATGTTCGGGTTCTAGAATGTGTGTGTCTATGATCCTTTTTTTTTGAATTGTTTGTTACCTTTTTGGGTGTTTCCTTTTTAAAAGCCATCTTGGAACCTTGCTAAGGAGGTGGCCTGACTTAAACCCAGCTGTCTTATAGAGGGAGCCATGATGGCTGAACTTTGATTGGCTTAGGGTAAATCGAGTAGGCGGGGATAACAGTATATAGGTGGACTGCTGGCTGTAGTAAGGGGTCTGATGGGAACGCTGCCATTTAATCTAAGTTTAACTATGCTCTGATGAAGGAGACCTAATAAATCTTTTTTTGTTTTTGCTCCAACCAACTTCGCTGAATTTTTCCTTCCACACCACACCTCTCAGCGCAACATTGTGTAAATGTGTCTCTAACTCTTAGTAAACAGCTAAGAGTTGACACGTATAGTGCACAATCCCAGAATGCAGTGCTATGTGACATCAGTGGGTATTTCCCTATAGAAAATGTATTTTCAATACAGTGAAGTAACTCACAACCATATTGACACACCCCAGACTTTTCCACATGTCAGGTCACAGAGTAGCTCAAATTGGAGCATATCTAGGGAGGAGAAAAGTCAATATACTGGCTTTGTGACTAACACAAATGTACTTAGTCCCTCCCCCCAAATAAGAATATTGTAGAAAATAATTTTGCTTCAATAACAGCTGCAAGTCATTTATTTATAACAGTATTTACCATTGTTAAACATCTAGACACTGGATTAAACTATTCTATTGCATCTCTGGTCGTATATTAGGGAACATTATAGTGGTGGAAGGTAAACCAGTCTTAAGACTACTAGACTCCTTTGAAAGGTTTTCATAAATAAATAAAACCTGTATTTAGTCGCTTCCATGTTTTAAAATGTTTTAACCAGTTTTCTTGTCCCAGTTGCAAAAGAGATTCTACCAAGACCATTATTTAAAGAAAAACCATTTTGTTTTTTTGTAGCTTATTGATCCATTAATGTGTTAAACCCGAAGTAAACAGACTAGTGCGTGTCTTGTGACAAAAAGTAAAGGTTCAGGGGGTAAAGAATACATACTTTAAATCACAGTATTTTCAGTCTGCAGTGACTAAAAGAGTCTGGAAGATGTCGGGAAATGGGCACACTTTCAATTTTTTTTCAAACAACAAATTTTAACTCTATTTTATAGCATTTTAATCAGGTTTTGTTGTAAAATGCAATTACACTGCAGGACTAAAATCACTTTATAAGGCCATAAATATCATAAACAACCTTAATTTGTATCCCTGGGGATTCTTGAGTAAATGTCAGTGCCTGCATTAATTTTCTTTATTCCCATTTCTTTAAGGGGGGGATGAGTGGTTAAAAAACACAACATATTCTGGATAAAACTAACAGCAGTAATGAAGAAAACTATTTATTTAAAAAAAGACCTTTGGCCCAGCTGTTTTTCAACATTGTTTCCCATGTACACTAAAGCACTGCTGAACAAATCTTTACCAGCAAGCAGATGACTGTACTGGAAATGGGAGTCACACATGCTGTGGTCCGAAGATGACTCAAACATCGTAAACTGGAGAGATTTTAACGCTTCGATGGGGGAGAAAGTTTCAGCCACTTTTAAATCCTCAAAAGATACTAAAGGGAGCTTGAAGGTCAAAGACAAGCCAATTTCTTTTCAAATGGAGCCAGGCAAGATGAGAACATTACATCTTTATGTACTGTAGATCTCTGTTAAATAGTGTCGCAGCTCACTTTACTGTTACCTTAACCTTTGAGGAGTTGCCCTTTCATCCTCTCAACGAGGGACCTTAATTAACAGTTTAGGTTCTCCCTCCCACAGTACAATAACAGCTGTTTAAAACTCTATAGGATTAGAGATGTGCTCTAAAAGAAAATTCAGGGATCTTCAACATCAGATGGCAAAATTGCAATTTTTCTTTTGAGAAAATACTTTCTGATAAAAAGAAAAAAAAAGGCTTTTTTTGTTTGTTTTACACTTTGTTTTTTACTTCCAGTGAGTGTCAGCAATCCTGAACATAAATCGTAAACTGGGAATCTGAGTGACCCTCAGAGCCAAGAGTCAGAGCTTATTGCAAGATGATTTACCAGAGACATACACGGTGGGGTCAGGGATCACCAGTTCAAATGAGTTATCGTGTTTTCCGTAGTGCTGCACTTCGAAGAACAACATCCCTCATGGGTCAGGTCTCTGTCAAAAGACCTGATTTGCGTCTTCAGATGTTCTTACAAAAGTCAACTCAACTCTTACACAAGCAGATGTTCAACTGCGGTTTAAAATAATTTGCCATTTTAATAATCTGTTTTCCACACACATAAAAATCTAATATCCAAAAATTTGAGGATTCTTGTTGATTTACTGATATTTTTTTTTTTTTTTTTTTAGATCAAAGTCACACTCAAACCTTTCAGGAATTTTAAGTGAAATCAGATTCAGGACTTGCGTGAGACACACTGATTGTTACATAATATAACTTACTGTCCACCTTGATGGCTCAATACCACAGAGCACAAATCAATAGTTCAAAGCAGGAATAAATATGTCACTTAAAAACGCAGCATGGATTAGATTTTCAATGGGTACTTCTTTCAAATATTTGCATGCTAGAGGGGAGAAATGATCAGATTTACAAAATATATAACTATAATTAATAATATTCGCCTTATACCTTCTGATGTTAAACATAGCAGAAGAAGCAAAGCTCTGTGAGGACTTTTGGCCCAGCTGTTGTCCAAACATTGTTTCCCATGTACACTAAAGCACAAAGAAATCTCCTAATTCTATGTCAGCTGAACTGGCAACATTGCACCAAGAACAATTGTTTAATAATGTATGAAATAAAGTCATTAAAAGCTGCGCTGATTGATAAAGACAAAATAACAGTCATGCCGGAGTGGAAAGGGGACGACCTGGACCAATATTTACAAAGGGAGGAGTAGAGAGGTCTTTGAGAACATAGACATTCAAATGTATTCCATTAAGCTACAGCTCTGGAGCAAGCTTTGGAGATTCTCATCTGTAAATCTTTTCCAGCTATGCGATACAAATTACCTATCAAAACACCAAGAGGTCAGAAATGAAATGATACAGTTAAAGTCTGGTGGGACACCAGCTGCATGCTATATTTTGCTGCAGAGAACAAAGATGATACAAAATGACATACGGAGAGGAGAGAGAGCATAGAAGTCACTGAGAGGAAGCACTCGTTGCTCATCTAAGTTTGGATGACACTGCGTGTGAACTTTCTGCATACAGCTGGTTGTGTTGGTAAGTGATCAAAGCTCTGCACTGACTCTCTGCAACTGAGATTCAAAGTAGTAGGGAACACATCCCTCACACATTACTCAGGGCCAAAAACACAGAACAGAAATCAGCCATACTAGGATTATGATATTTCTTTTTTTGCCTCGGTCTTTTCTTTTACACGATGGTTTAGATTAACAGCTGTGAAGTAATTATTTTTTTATGTCAAAAGACAACCATTTCATTTGAGCCAAAGCCAAACAGATTTTGCAGAGCAACAAAGTGTTGTGACTAAAGATCTGTGCCCTTTCACGCTGACTGAAGATAAACTTGAGGAAATTAAACACAGTGATCGAAGAGCCTGTTTCGTGGTCTTTTTAAGGAAAAAATGAGTGAAAAATGAAAGGGGAAATATGCACTACATTATCTACCCATGTCAAACATCAGAAGCTTCTCATAGCAGCAAATATGGAGAACATCTGGTCCTCAAATGTCACAGCAAGGTGAGCACAGGTTGGGGACATATTTTTATCAACTGTCTAAAGGGGGAAGTATGAGTAGATCTTAATGTAATAGTAATCTAGTATACAAGCAGTTTTGCAGGTCGTTGTAATACTTATAGATTTTTTTACACTGCATTGTGAAAGGACAATTATTGAAGGATAAGGTTACCACCTACCAGACTCAATATAATATAGATATATATAAATATATATATATATATATATATATATATATATATATATATATATATATATATATATATTATATATAATATATATATATATATATATATATATATATATATATATATATAATATTATATATTTTTTTAAATGTAAATACACTTATATGAGGCAAAGTGTAGCAAGTTTAATTATATTGCCCAGTTTATAATAAAATAATTATAAATATAATTTTATTAAATTTTTTATATTTTATCATTATAAAGATATATAAAAAAACCTGAAAATGTTAGAACTGTAAATTTACAGTCATATTTTTCTATTACTGTTTTTATATTTTTTTTTTTTACTATTTTTCAAGGATGCACTTCAAAAAATGAAATTGTCTGGCGGTTGATAAACCAAATTTGTGATGTATTTTGGAGCTAAACCATTCAGTATTTTAAGGTGCATTCTCTTTGATACAGGGAGCCAGTATAAAGACTTTAGGATTGGGTTGATGCGCTCTACTTTCTTGGTTTTAGTGAGGATGCAGGCAGCAGCATTCTGGATGAACTACAACTGTTTGATGGGCTTTATAAGCAGTCCTGTGAAGACAACATTGCAATGATCAATTCTTCTAAAAATGCACACAATTATTTTTTTCGAGATCCTGCTGAGGAATTAGTGCTAGAATCTAATTAGTGCTCTAATCCTAGAATCTAATTAGTGCTCTAATCCTAGAATCTAATTAGTGCTCTACTCCTCGAAATGTTCATTAGGTGATAGTAGGCCAACTTTGTAACTGTCTTTGTGTTTCTTTGAATGTTCAGGTCTGAATGTTTTACAAACTTTCACGAACATGTAAGTTTTGCTTAGAAGTGTATAGGTCTAAAAATACACCTAATAGTCTAAGATTTTTTTTTTCAAAGTTATAGTATCACATTATATGTAACTTATTTATGATCTCTAAAAATAAGAAAACATGTCAGGCACCTAAATAAAAACCTAGCTGGGCTATACAATATGGACTTAAAATCTTATCACGATATTTGCAGTACTATTGTGATAACAATAAAACTGATGATAAAAACACTGCATTAATTATTTTAAAGACGTTCTTAGGTAACTGTATAACTGTGACTGCATGCCATAGCAATCTTAGCCCCACAAACACTGCTCTCAAAAACATATACAAATTTAAACAGGCTTCTTCAGGACACCAGTTACAAACATAAATGTAATTTATGTCACTATACATCCCATAATAACCTGATTTAATCATATTCTTCAAATTGGCCAATTCCCCAATGGAAAAGAAAAATCTATTTTTTAAATCACCCATTTCATGATTTTTCTATTATCAACAATTCTAATTGATTGTTTAGACCAGGCATTCCCAAACTCGGTCTTCAAGACCCCCTGTCCTGCAGGTTTTAGAGGTTTCCTTGCTCCAGCACAGCTGATTTTAATTGAAAGCTGATTAACAGGCTTTTGGTCTACTGCAATCATTTATAACCAACTGTGCTGAAGCAGAGAAACCTCTAAAACCTGCAGGACAGGGAGCCTTGAGGACCGAGTTTGGGGATGCCTGGTTTAGACAATAAAACTAAATTGTGGGAATGAATAGAAATTTATAACAATTACGATAAACGATACAATAAAGGCCCACCCCTACAATCAATGTCTAATTTAATTTGGCAACATATATATTTTTTTTCTTTTCTCAGTGTCTGCTTTTAATCCACATCTTATCAAATAAAACAAAATGTCCAGAAGAGCTGATGTGGAGCAAGTTTGCTCTGACTGATTAAGTGTGCTTTCAAACTGCACAGATCACCATAGCCAATAAATGGCTCTGAACCAAAGTTTTCCATTTTCAGACTTGAAAATCTGAATATATCGCTGTTGTGATGAAAAAGTTTTCTCTAAACGGAGTTACACAGATGGATGTGAAGATTTAAAACATGTGCTTTGGGTCAAACAGGCGATCAACTAGTCTCAGGAGTCATCATGCAGAGGCTGTGATTGTGTTGCATATCTAAAAATGCTTCAGGTGCAAATTCCATTTCTCTTAGGCGTTCCAAACAAACCAATAAATCATTTTACAAAGGAATTGGTGTTTTTTGCAAATACTTTTGCCACACAATGAAAAATAAATAAACAATATATAATAAACACATATATATTCCTGTTACCTCTGGTGTTGCAGGGTTGAAAGCCACACTTAGTACAGTGTCTGAGTGTCTCTGGAGTTTGTGGAGGTAGGTGCTGCTACGGATATCATACACATAGGCCTGAAATAAATAACACAGTAACAACAAAAAAATCTGTTATTGCTGTGAATTCAAAAAACAGATGCAATAGAGAGAGAGAGAGAGAGAAATAAACAAAACAAAAAAAAACCCCGAACATCTGGGAAAAAGGCACAGCACCAGTCAGAGGTGGACATGGAAGTCATTATTTTTCCCTTTTCAATCATTGGTTTGAAACTCTTTTCTGGGACTTTATAAAATATAAGCATTCAACTTCAGTATTATTTGAATAAAAGAGTCGGGTCCACCTTTGGGATTTATTTCAGATTGTCTCTAAAATTCATAAATATCAATATGCTCTATAATATTTGTTTGTGCCCCCTACCACATTTCACCAGCCAGGTTGCGTAGCAATCAAAAGGTTCTAAAAAATGACGTCCCATTGTTAGATCACAGCTGTTGGCAGAATTAATAGCCTTGTTTTTTGTTTTTTATTTTTTAGAATAGTTGACTCTTAGTTGCCACATGGCCTACTAACTTTAATAGGTTTCAGGTTGAAGCCCTCAAAAGGCTGTTCAAAAAAGTTTAATGCAGGGATAAAAAATAAAAGAAATCAGTGTTTAGGGTTACTGTTCCATTGAAAAATCCAACTGATTCCAATTTTAACCATCTCAGCCAAAAATACAGGCTCAGATGGTTAGAAATAACCCATAAACCACCAATAATGATAATGTATAATTGTATTTTAACCACCACTGGTTATTGGAGTTTTAAATAAAATGGGCAGGGTAATAATAAAGCACATGGAGGGCTGCCTCCATATGCTTTAAAATCACCAAAACCAACATATGTATTTAATAATTAAAAAACAAACATGCTTTCAAAAGAAAAGTACTTCTACCAAACATTTCTGATGGTTAGTTTAGTATCAAATTATACATAAAAAAGTAAGTGGATGTAATAGTAAAATTTAACTGTTTGTATGAATCTAATTAATTAAGATTATATCGCAAATATGTTCCAGGAGGTTTTTGACTCAAAACCTTGTTAAAGTGTTTAACATTCTAAGGGAATCCTTTAAAGTGTTCTTGTCCTGTTCGTCCATGAGTGTTTTTTGATATATTATGACAAGTATAAACGTCTGTGGCTTATAGATGTCTCAGGGCAGCCACAAATAAATACACTGCAGCAAAATCTCTTCAAGTTTCCAGGAAAATTTGGAAATGTCTTTTCTTAACAGAGATGCTTTAAATGTTCATGCTGTGCCGAATCCCCATAATTAATAACATCAAGCAGGATGGATACATTATTTCACAGTTTTCCACAAACATATACACCAGAGGAGAGATGGGTAAAGAAAGGGAAGTCTGTCCTCTGCAAAAAGTCTTGATCGTACGGTTAAGACACTGTCTGGAAAAGCAATTAAACAGCTCTGCTTAGATATAAATGCTCCATTTGATTTTCCTTGGGTTAATATTTTGAACACAGATGAAAAATGTCTAGCAAAAAAGGATCATCACTTTAAATTGACAGAACAGTGATAACTATACCCTAGCCTTGATAAGGTTATGCTTTTTGGTAAAAGTTTAAACGTTTGCAACTGTTTGAATATAAGAAAAAAAAAGGTGCAGAAAAAGAAAAAAAGTTGGCATCCAGAAAGGAAACTTAAAGTCCGGAACAGAAAAAAAAAAACTGTTTTGACAGTGAGAACAATCACAGGCAGGATGGGTAGAGGTGAAGGCATAAGGGAGACCTCAAAGAGACTAAATCGTAGGAGAACATTTCAGAGTAAACAAGCAGATATAGCTACAGCTGGTTGTAGTAAATAGATTTAGATTTCCTCTTGTTGGGTCTTTAAGGTTTCAACATGGGCTAACAACTCTCTGTGATGTAAACTATAATTTGAGGTTTGCTCATTGCTTCATAGTCACTGTAGTATTATCTACAGTAGTAAGTAAGTACAGATATTTAAAAGCTTCTTAAAAATTAATAAGAGTGATAATACTGTTAAAATATTTGGTTCAGATAGGAAGTTCATCATTCTTGCAGTCTTATCAGATGCTTTAAGAAGCACCCACCCTGGAAAAGCACCAATTTGCATACAAAGCGGAGCAATCAAAAGAGGCTGAGTTGACTATAGCCCCACACATTGTTTTCATACAACCAGCACACTGTGAAACATGTTTGTTAGCTGTTACTAAATATAAGTTCACCATTCAATGTTAACTGCTGCCAGGTGGGAGACTTTTCTGCTAACTAATACTAGAGTTCTGCAAGGCTGTGTGATGAGTCATCTGCTGTTTTCACTTTACACACATGGCTCCATACAATCTCATAAAACATTATTACATATAGAGATAACAACAATTCTGTCGACCAAACAAACATCTTGATGAATCTGTATACAGGCGCCAAAGGCAAGGCAAGGCAAGGCAAATTTTTTTGTATAGCACATTTCAGTATTAAGACAATGCAAAGTGCTTTACATGATTGAAATATAGGAAAATAAAACAGAATCAAAGCAAGTAGGAAAAAAAAATAATGATACAAAAAAAAAAAATGGATAGAGCATCATCAATGTGATGGTCTATCCAAAACTAAGAAAATTAATAACTGATGTTCTAGAGAAAAGGGGGCATCCTTTTAACTATACTTCAGAGGTAATTCAGTTGAGAGAATGGCCTCTTTTTAACTTTTTCCAATATAGAAAACCTAACATTTGTACAAAAAAACCATAGCTTGCTAAGCTTATCATTATTGGTGTATAATAGCAGGTTTTCTTTTTAAAGTATTCTTACTGGTAGCATTCAGGTGCTGGTTTGGCAGCAGCTGAGAAGAAAGCCTCCAGAGATTCATCAAAAGAGAATAGAAAAGGATTGAGACTCAGAAAAATACATTATCGTACATTTACAAGACTAGTGTGATTAATGTGAAACTTATAACGCTTTTCACCATTAAAAGGAGTATCCAAGTGTCGTTAGAAAACAGAACAACATTCAAAGTGTTTTGACAACAACTTATCAATGTGCAACATCCTTAAATGATGGATGATGATTTGGAATATCCATATTTTTTATCTTTAACCTACCATCCATTTAATTGTATTTCCTATATATTATGTAGATGGATTTTTTTTTCTTGTTATTCATGTTGTGTACAACACTGGAATTGAGAACATAACTTTATTGTACATTGTGTATTGAAAGGGAAGGAAATGAATTTAAAAATGTAGCACTTGACTGTGCCTAAAAAGTTTTGCATGACTGTATCATGACAGATTAGTTTTTCCTCCGCTGGTAGTACGTCAGTTGGCTTCCAAAATTGCTCACATATTGCATTAGCCTTCAGACCCCTCAACCAGTGGGAATATATATAACCAGTTGATCTTAAAGTGAATCAAAAAGATCATTATTTCTGTGGAATATTATTTATAAGATCATATATTTTCACTTCATTCTGTTAAGCTGAGCTGTTCTGAAGTTTATACTTTGAGCTCCTTTTTAGCTTATAAGTCAGCTCTCATTAAATTCATGTTTTTCCCAGTTTAAAATACTGTGATTCCAGCTTTCATTTTGTGTAAACTCTGTTTGCATCACTAGCAAATGATTTAACAGTTTCCAGAAATGAGGAGCAGTACCCTTAGGAATGGAAACAAACAGTTTGAACATACAAGACATGGTTCGACATTCCAAAGGAAAAAGATGATCAGGTTGATTATGGTCTGGTAAAAGAAAACAAATAATTGCAAGAATGGATCAATGATGGCATCACTTTCCCCTTTGTTGAGCATTCTTTAGGAACTGGGTAGATTAAAGGAATAGTACACCCAAAACATGATTAGCCTTCATTTTCTACTCACCCCCATGCTGAACAACACTCTGGAGTACTTTTTT